ATTTTCATCACTGAAAGGAGAATAAACTGCACTTCATTTTGTGAATAAGATCATTTTGCAGCATTATTCCTATTCAAATACGTAATTCTAACTAATAAGGAGAAAACCTAATGTCAACAAACCATAGCTTCATCTGTGAAAATGATACCCTTTCATTCTTGAAGATGTCGATTACAGATACTATACATTCAAAAGGGCTAATGAAAATATGACAATATGAAAAGAATTCATATTGATGAAGATATTTATTGAAAGAGAAAAAATAAATTTTTACGGTATGAAATATGTTACATTATCGTTCACACCTTTGCCTTATGACAGATTAAAAACGAAATTTTTAACTTGGTATGAGGAGTATACTTTGAGTAAATACTGTCGCTCATCGAATTCCAAAACAAATCGTTAGTCCTATTACCCTAACCATGAACTTCTTCTTGCCTCGTTCAAACAGCTAAGGCATAGTCTTTTTGAAAGTGTGTTTTGAAAATAGTTCCCCGAATGTAAAAAATTTAACCTCTGATCATAAGACAACTGTAATGATAGTGGAATCCCGTTATTCATGACAGTGGACTGAGAAAACAAAGAATTTTGATATTTATCACATCTGGTATTGTGACATTATTCGAGCCATATTCTTATCGGTATTCTGATGGTATATTGAGAAATCAGCCACGTTTGTCCGTGCTGTGAAAGTCACCATCATGTTTCCATTAGTCTGCGTCATAATGAATGCCAAAATTAGGAATTCATATGTAGACAGATTCAACAAATAAAACGAATTGCAGCGTAACTGTTAATTTAACATGAACTATCCACAACGAATGTGAGTGTGGGAGAAATTTGAGTTTTTATAAAGACTTATCTGCAACTTATATATTATATGTTATCTGCGCTACACTTCTAGTAACCTACGTTTTCAGGATATTAACTCAGAGGAAATCTAACATTTGCTCTCTGAGATCATATAGCTGGAATTATAGATAGGGTACTAAGTACAATGTCACTGAATATCATTAAACGACGTTTCGTAAGGAAATTGACTCTGATGTGAATTCTAGCAGATGACACAATATATTTTTATAAACGTAGTGAAACATATGTCATTCTGTTAGCCTGACAAACATAGTGACTGATACTAGTCATTGGGTGTACACTCAAATGATTCTCACTACTAAGTTAAGGAGAATTACTATAACTGTTTATTACACAGCATGAAAAATGGAGAAATTCAAATTATCACACCTAACTATCGGTTAGACGTGCAGAGAATAATATGCATGAACTTATTATTATGAGTTGTTGCATGGCTAGGAATGAAAATGTGTATCACTTTGTCGGTCATCGCTGTGACGGTAATATTGCTAGATGGACAACGACTGACTGAAACTATACAAATGCCATTGTATATTCATTCTAATCTTACCATAGCCTGAAGCTGACAATCGATAACTATGAATGTCAATGTATGACTGATTTTATTAACTTCTGTCAATATGTACATTTTGCAAATGTTGATTTTTTGAGTTCACCAAGGCAGATGACAGTGTTCTTATACGCTTTACAATCAGAAGTAGATTTATCGATCTATACTATCATGTAAGGATTGTAAGCAGCAGAAAAGTTCATGCTCTTTCACTACTTTGATCGTTCTGCTTTTAGTTAACCAAGATTCTTCATTTGTCAATTAATTGTTTACATTTGTATGTGAGTGATGTGTAGACACATCACTCAGATTTGAACAATAATTGGTCACTTTACATATGTTAGCCATACCACAACTGATTATCCACACAATTGTGACATGTTTATTACAATTTCCATTGAATGTGATTTTACAAATCAAACTTATCACAGAATAATAAACAATCATGAATATGAGTAATGTTTTCCTCGCTATACTGTTCATATATCCAATATTTTTACTTCATGGAGTGAATGGTGGTGAGTCTTGTAATATGCACATCATAAACACATGAGAATGATAGTTTTATTCTAATTATGGTGATGACAATTTAAATGCGAACAAACATTTTTTAATTCGATTATTTGAAACATTTTATCATCATAAGGTTATATATGATGTTATTTCATGCCTGCACGTACTAAGCTTATGTAATTTAATAGTGATGAGATATTAGGGAGTTACGAATAGTGAATGTTTCATTTGCATAGTCACAACTGCCTATTTTTATTGTGTTCTTTGAAATTATGTAATCTGATCCACATTTCTTCTGAGTATTGATGTGAAAACTTGATTGAACGTATTATCTTGTTCAAGTTAACATTGTGTATCACTCATTTTAACAAGAACAATTTTTATTTCAATCACAAAATTGCTCATCATAGGATAATCATTTTGGAGTTGAAATGATTAATCCTTATTCTAATCTGAGTGTTATTTTCTAATTAAAGCAATTCAAAATGAATAGTCCGAAATTCAATACAATTATTATATATATTATTTTATATATTTCAGCTGATAAAGGTACGTTTTTATCAATGAGTTTACATACACTTTGATGTGTGAATTTTATTGAAAATTGTGGAATGAAGAACATTCAAAGGCTACTGACCGTGAAAATGTTAATCAATAGAAGACTACGTGTTGATTGATTGTCATGTTCGATTATTGGCAATCAGATATGAAGTTTTTCCTGCCGAAGTAATTTATTTCATAGTTTACAACTGAAAATTCTGCAAGACACCTGATAATATTTTTATTTGATAATGACTTGTGAATTTGTATATTGTAGAAGTAGCTACAAAAACTCGTGAACAGGAATAGAATTTTAATTATAGCTATCATATTTTGGAACGAGACTGGTATGCTTCATTGAGAATTGAAATCAAAGTCGATAATGGCTCAGACAACATTTATTTCAGTCTTTCACAAAATGAATTTATTCTTTGTAAGTTATCGTATCAGAATATCAATGACAACAGTTGAGAAAATCTGATTAGCCTGGATCAAACAACCGGCTTGAAAACATTCACCTAACCTGATGCTCACATTCACCCACTTTTTATCTTACTAAAATATCATATCGAAATGCTTTCACCTTGTGAGATAATGAAAAATAGCTTTTTTATTGTTTTAATTACTAAGCGAATGCATGATTATTTGTTCTACCACGGAGCACAATTCAAGCTTTATCCTAAAAATTAGTTTGAATTGAAAAAATACTCAATTTATCGTTGTAGGAATATTTGACCTTGTGTAAGTTTTCAGAATGTTTTATTTGGATGAGTGTATTTCTCGTAAGTTATGTCTAGTATGTTTGTTCATCGGTATGTTTCTAAACATTATCTATGTTTGCTGGTATGGAAAGTTACGTTGAATGAATAATTATGAAGAGTATTGCAAAAACTGTTTGGATTCATATTTTTCATCAAAGACTAAAACGACTGCTCATGAACAGCTGTTTTTTGTTGTTACCGGAATTCTGAGTAATGGTCGGACAGTATCATGATTTATAGGTATAAATATGAATCATTGAGTGGTGCCACAGTGGTTTATGGTCCACGCATTGTCCTTCAAACTTAAAAGTTCTTGTTCAACCTGTGGTAGAGTCGTAAATCAGCATTGCTTTCGAGTATTATGCTGGGACCTAAAACCTTTACAGTGCATGCTGATTTCCATTGTTTTTCTAGTTACCATCAGTTTGTGATTTAGGCCCTGGAAAAATGATATACAGCTTAACAGTAACTCTCGATTTACATAACTCATTCTTCATGAAAGGTTTTCTGAACTAATGATTTTATTATTGCAAAATTAAAGTTTCTTTTATCGTAGTTCTATAGTCATTTCGGTTTAACTCCAAAAATCGTATGCTTTCACTGAACATTAAAACCAGAATATTTAATAATATATTTTGGATATGACGTAAATTTTCACAGTTATTTCACAAGCTGTTCAGTTAGTTTCTTAAATGATACAATTGATTGTTGAATAAGGTACTGAAAACTTCCAAGAATAAAGTTTGTATTTTAATACCTGTTTAACAGCGAATGATGATTACGCTATTTTATGTCAGCTACAATAAATATCTGTAGATAGAAATTAAACGGAATTGACTGAATCATTTTTCAGAGAGTTTATTGTACAATTATGGTGAGTCCCAGTATTTGATTTATCCTCCTTCCAAAAAAATCAAACAAAATGATTCGTTATTGAATAGTGGAAGTTTAATAATATTAGTGTTTTAAACTGTTAACAATATTTGAATGATGTTCATTCAATGTTCAGTTGCACGAAGTGTTTCATTCAATTATGAGTGTTTGATACAATTTTATGTGTAGCAGTTGTTTGTTAAATCTATCATTTACATTTTAATCGGTTACGAATCAATTCTTTTTTTTCCCGGCATTTACTTTTCAAGTAAGAATAAGACGCCAAAATCTGTTGATTCTGCTATTATCTATAAATTTTCTCGATCAACTATCAATCAGAGTTTTAGATATAATGAC